GTCCATTCACTGTCGCTGAGGCCAACAGTTAGTTACTAAGGACCATTCCCTGTCACTGAGGTCAACAGTTTGTTGCTAATGTCCATTTCCTGTCACTGAGGTCAACAGTTTGTTGCTAAAGTCCATTCCCTGTCACAGAGGCAACAGTTTGTGCTAAGGTCCATTCCATGTTACTGAGCCAACAGTTTGTTGCTAAAGTTCATTCCCTGTCACAGAGGCCAACAGTTTGTTGCTAAGGTCCATTCCCTGTCACTAAGGCCAACAGTTTGTTGCTAAGGTCCATTCCCTGTCACTAAGGCCAACAGTTTGATGCTAAGGTCCATTCCCTGTCACTAAGGCCAACAGTTTGTTGCTAAAGTTCATTCCCTGTCACTAAGGACCAGATGCTTGTGTTAAAATCCATTTCCGGTCTTTAAAGACCGGAGTCTGTTGCTAAATTCCGTTCCCTGCCATTAAGGACCAGAGTGATGCTCAATTCCATTCACTGTCATCGTTGGCAAAACTCAATGTCAATGTTGTAAAGAAAATTGATTGGAAGATCATGGTTTTCATGATTAGTTTATTTTTATATTCACCATAACATGCAAATTAGCTGATTAATACGTATGTTCCACCAAGATTTGTTTTGAGAGAAACACACATTACTGAGCTGCTGCAAAATCAAATCAGATACATGTAATTATTATTATGCACATATTAACTACAAAAGCTGGACAAAGGTCAATCAGTTAGCAACAGTTTCCGGGTTCTATTCTCTGACCCAACTGTTCACTCAGTAGTATAAATCTGCCTTGCCTTCCAATCACATGGTATATTAGGTTTGGGAGACTAGTTTGCTATCAGGCGCTTGCAATTAGCACTTAAGAGAACAAGTCATTGTCAATGACACGTCCCCGTTCCGTTCATATTTGAGTGACATATACATTCAAAGCAGATCATGACCGAAATGCACCTGCATATGTACAACACATTGTGCTAAATCTGAACAAAATCCATCCATGCATGACTGAGATCCGGTTCTGGAATTGTGAAAATACGTGATTTTGATGCATTTTCGGCCTTAAAATGGCCATCATTCCGCTATTGTTAAGCAGATCATGAAACAAATGCACATATCTATTTGTGACATGATGTACCATGTGTGTGTGAAGTTTGAACTTGATCAATCCAGACATGTCTTGGATACGGATCCAGAACTGAATTCTTTAACAAAATGGCCGCCAGTCGGCCATTTCGAACTTGATCCGAAAAAAAAAGACGTGCATCAAGGTCCTATTATGTTTAATGTATGTACCAAATTTGAACAAAATCCATCCATGCATAACTGAGATACGGGTCCGGAATGGTGAAAATGTGCGATTTCAATGCATTTTCGGCCTTAAAGTGGCTGCCATTTGGCTATCGTTAATGAGATCATGAAACAAATGCACATACATATTTGTGACATGATGTACCTTGTGTGTGTGAAGTTTGAACTCGATCAATCCAAGCATGTCTCAGATACGGATCCAGAACTGAATTCTTTAAAACAAAATGGCCGCCAGTCGGCCATTTCGAACCCGATCCAAAAAAAAAATGACGTGCATCAAGGTCCTATTATGCTTAATGTATGTACCAAATTTGAACAAACTCCGTCCATGCATAACTGAGATCCGGGTCCGGAATGGTGAAAATGTGCGATTTTGATGCATTTTCGGCCTTAAAATGGCCACTATTCGGCTATCGTTACTCGGATCATGAAAAAAATGCATGTGCATATGTCCCATATAATGTGTGATGTATGAGTGAAGTTTGAACTTAATCGGTCCATGCATGTTCGAGATACAGGTGATCACGGACGCACGGACGGACGCACACAGGGCAAAACATAAGTCCCCGTTTTCAGACTGCGTCCGAACGGGGACTAAAAAAATACAGTGACTTCAATGTTTGGAAATGTCGCCTAGCACAAAAATACTTTAAAAAAAACAAAAAAAAACGTACCTCCTATTTTATACAACTCCAAGTCAGAAAATTTAACATCAAAGGAGTGTGGATAAAAACAACTTCTAAAACCGTAGAAATATTCTCGTATTTTCTCATCTCGACAGTGACGGCGGAATGCTGTTGGTCTTTCTACAACCTAAATCGAGATGAAAAAAAACAATGATTAATTTGAAACTAAAACTAATTATTATTTCAAATTGACTGCTAAATAGAATCTAAATTAATGTCTCATTTGGTTAGTAAGTCGGGACACTGCAGAGCCATACAATGGAAGTTTCACGTACATGTAAAAATGTTTGAATAAAAGTCAGCCTCTCAATAACATCTATGGCCAAAAGTAAAAAAAAATTGCATGTTTTGTTTTCCCCCTGCAGGTTATACACATAGTAGAAGCTAATGTGCATGACCTGCACAACCTCCCAAACAGCATAGCTTTCAGACCAGCCAAACATAAAAAGCTGTAACCACCTAACAGTATGAAATTCACACCTGCTGTATGTGAATAATTAACAGGTGTTAAGTTCAAAATCTTTCTAACCTACAAACTAACTACCGGTAACTAAGTTTGCATTCATTAAAACAAAATGAATACCAATCAGACATTTTGTATTCAATATGAAGCCCCATAGAGTATAAATAATGTATTAAATTTTGAAAGAAACGCATCCATACAAGACCACATCCAGTCCAGGAATGGCAGAAATAAATAAACAATAAAGTCTCCATTTGGCTATCTTGAATAAAATCAGGAAATGAAGGTATGATGTAAATTATGCAAGATTTCAACCCTAAACTAATCTAGTCTGTTTCATTGAAAACTGACAATTGGTATTTTACATATCTGGAACAACTATGGTATAAATTGGTGAATTTATCTAAATAACTCGTGAAGAAATCATGAAGTGATAGTTTCCCTTGAAACAAGTTTGGGTATGATATCTTTTAATTTTCTCTATGTCATTTAATTGATGGAATATTTTACTAAACAAATGATCAAGAATTTGTAGTTTGTTTTACTGGTCACTCCTTAACCTTTTCACCACCAGTTCCCTCTTTACATCACACATTTACAAAATAGTCCCATTCATAGTCTGCACTCTCCTTCAGAAGATTGGGACAAAAATAACAATTTTTTCAATGAAAACGCAAAATTGACTCAAACTTTGTCCATTGGCCCCAAAATTAGGGGTTTATTTCCAGAAAAATTGCAGAAAAACTTTGGCGAAAAAGTCTGCTAGTGAAAAGTTTGTAACTGTAAAATACAGAATAATCTGCGTCTATGCTAATCTGCTAATGAATATATTATACTAAGTACACCTGAACTAGAAAGAAAAAAACACACCCTGATGGCAAAATGCACAACAATGCTGAAACTTTGTTAATGGTTAACTAAAATAAATAAAGCTAGCGCATTCTACTGATAAAATCATTCACAATATTGCTAGTGTGTGAAAGGTCACGGTCGTGGAGGAACGCAGTAGAATTCACACAGATTGTTTTCGTTTGTACCACAAGTATCGTTCTAGTTCTTACAGTAATACATCATGAGGCTACAAAGATTCCTAGTGTACTTGGTGTTACTTGGGCTGATAGCAGAACATGTTACATTTGCCAAGAAGAACAAAAAGAACAATGAAAAAGAAATGGAAGACAATGAGGACGATACAAATGTTGCCATGACCGATGACGAAATAAGTGATCAACTGGACGAGGAGACTGTCCCAGTAAATAAAGGCAAGAAAAAACAGCATAATTCAAATAAATGCATTTACAGTTTTGAGGTGGATCAAAGTGAAGAACAGAGCTGCTCGGGAATGGACATGGAAACTAAAATGAAAATTGCAACGCTTGAACAAAAGAGTCAAATGCATGACGATATACTGGCTGACTTGGTACAGAAGAGCTCAACTGATCCGACAGCGTTGACTGAATTACAATTACAATTGTCATCCATACAAGCGATGTTTAGCAGTATGGCCAGTATGGGTGTAAATCAAAACTCCGGTAATACACCATCACAAAGTGCACCAATACTGTACAAAGGTGAGTGAAACAGAAAATATTAAATGTACTACCCCGGTATTCACAAATCTCTTATAACTTTCTACACTTCAAAATTTGTCTTTTGCTGTTATATTTCTATGACTTGTAGATTCAAAAATTGTTTAATGCAAAAAGTAAAGCAATGCAACCAATTGAAAATAGAATAAATTAAAGAAGGGAAATGGAACAACTAAAGAAATACAAGTATGAATTTTGGAATATGTAATTCATCACACTCTGACATGCGAGTCATTTGATGTTAACACCTGGAAAACAGTTATCTAAAATGACAAAAGCTAATTAGAGTTGCAAAATAAGTAGACAGATTATCGGAAAAACAAAAAAACAATATGAAGGCACTCTAACGAATCATCGCTAACAGATAAAATAGTGTTCGATGGCAGGTAAAGAAAACCTAAATTATGTCATAAAAATATTAATAATTAGATACTGTCATGAGCACTAACTGAATTTCTTAATTTTTGTCACAAAAGTGCATCAAAATAAACTACAATTTTGTCCTTTTTAACACTTTAAATGCCATAATTTATTTTGAAAAAATGTTGATGCAACATTTTTACTGTTTTTATATATTTTTCTAAACAAATTTTGATAATTTTGGACCAAATAGATATAATTGTCTATTTTATGTATAAGATAACAATTTGGAAAAAATTCTGAAAAAAATTATATGGGTTTAAAATTTGCCTTTGGAACTCAAATGTGTAGCGAGTACCAAAATAATGACATCACATGGTATGTCAACACTTTTGACAGCAAAGTATCAGAGATAATATGGTAGATTTATTCCTAGTATTATAATTTCAGATTGTCAACAGATTCTTGAAGAAAGCGAAATGAATCTAAAGAACGCAATCTATATGATTAAACCGTGGAATGCTGAGAGGCCGTTCAAAGTGAACTGCGAAATGGAAGGAGAGGACGGGGTATGGAACATTATACAAAGAAGAAATGATGGGTCGGTTGATTTCAATATGGACTGGATTGGTTACAAAGTAGGTTTCGGTAACATGGACGGTGAACACTGGATTGGAAACGACAACATCAACAGACTGACATCGCAGTCTAAGTACATTCTACGCATTGAGTTTGAAGACTGGAATGGTAACCTGTTTTACGCAAATTACATGGGCTTCCTAGTTGACAATGAGTATGCACGGTATAAACTTCACTTGGGCGAATACCAACCACATTTTGGGGTTAATCAAACCACTTCAGGTGACTCTCTATCGTACCACGACGGGCAAGAGTTCAGTACTCCCGACCGCGACAATGATAAATCCGAACCAACTCAGTGTGCTAAGACATACATGTCAGGTTGGTGGTTCAATAATTGTTTCCATAGCAACCTCAACGGTGTGTATCTGAAGTCTGGCGAGAATGACATAATTCATGGCGGAATATCATGGACTACTCTCAAAGCATCCAACATCTCGTCTATCAAACAAGTCACCATGAAAGTAAAGAGAACTGGATTTATCTAACATTTATACACAGTAAAGATGAGGAAATAACTAATAAACAAACACACATCACTCAATGACAAATTTCCTGACAACACTAGTATAGTATGGTATATTGCAACAATACATGATCATGTAAGTTTTAGATTTTTTGCAAGTCAGATAGAATATTTCTGCTTACTATCCTATCAATAACAACTAGGCGATGTCATATGCAATACACTTACCATGTCTGTTCTTTTAGAAGTGTTTATCCAAATGGAAATACAGATACAAAAAAATATGATTTATTTTGGCCACAAATAATCTGTCATTTTACATAAGCACATATCCCACTAATGGAGCAAATACGGTATTTAAAAGCTCAGTTTAAATATGACAATTGACTTATTAAGTAAAAAATTGCAAATTTTTCTGGAAAAACCACCAGCTGCTAATCAATAAAAACTTCAAGTAAACGGAAAATCAACGTACTATTCAAAATCGCGTGTCGAAAATAAATTATAAAATTATAAAAAAAATTATCTATTGTACATTGTGTGTAATCTAATGAAAATGGCAGAATATCAGAACCAGAAATTGGATTAAAATGTGTTTGTCGCATACGACTTATTTACCACTTCCGTGTCACTGAGAATGTTCCAGAACCGTACTGTGTCTGGGTGGAATATTCTAGATTTTTTTTAGAAACTGGTTGAATAGGTAATAGAACACTGTAGGAGGCAATAGAAGGTAATGGAACATTCTAGAAATTTGTAGTAAGTTCCAGACTCATTATGTATGCTGATGTGATGGTCTATTTATAGACAGTGGGGGTATATATAGAGTTCAGATCGGAGATCTCGTTGAATTGTATTGGAGTTTAAGTATCTAGTTATTGGAGTAGTGGAGTTTTACCGCGTTATTGTACTTGATGTCTGCAGAGTATAATAATACCAGTACCAGTTGAAACCTCATCTGTTGGCTCCGTGTTCGTATGTTATCATCGCCGCCAGGGAAGTCTTTATGTTACTGTTGCCATTTTGGTATTTGAACCATCACACCTGTACTATACCAATTACGGTAATATTACGTTGCGTGTGACAGTGTTTAATTTCAATAATGCATTTCCAGCCATTCTTGCATTACTCGTTTGCATACACGAACCACAACAACATGAACATTAAAATTCCAACAATATTTACACATGATACTGTATGTCAACAGAAGAACACACAGACCGTACATAATATTTCATTTACACGGCCCAAGACACAACTAAAATGCTACTAATACTAGCAAAAACTACAGTTTTCTACAACAGAGGAAAAACTAAACACATGAAGTTCAAGTCTCAAACTTGAACTTGTCTAACATTTTTCAAATCTGATTTGCAATAAACACAAACATATTTAAATTCCTGTTTTCACAAAAATCTCAAATAATTGAGTAAACAATGAACCATTCAGATATTGAAATACCGAATCTAGATTAGGATTTTGATAATATCTGAAACACGGGTGAAAGTTCAACAGACATGTCTTGATTATCGTAAAAACTCGATTAATTTGCGGTAGTAAAAATAATTATTTTTTCAAGTGCACGAATTAATAGCGTAAAAACGGAAATTATTGGTTTTTGGTTAGCGAATTAAAAGAGTACTTTTAGATCGATTCAAAAAGGAGCTGTTTTTTGATAAATTTATTAGTGATTTGTTTTGTTTTCCAATGAACACGATTACAGGACGTTTTTTAGTGCCTCTGAGACTCGTGGCTAGCGACATTCATGGCGTATAGTCGAGCAGAGAACACGCACTGCGTCAAGGACCACACACCATGTTACACTTGAAATAAAAACAGTGAAATGGCAAAGGTCACTCTGTACACAAACAAACAATGAACACGTGGCTACAAAGTAGCCGTCTGGCTGCGCTGCCTTTTTATATTTTTCTAGGAATCGCCCAGGCGATGTTATGGCAGATATTACAAAGCCCATCTTGTCTGGAAAAATAACCCTGCGTTGATAAAAATGATCTCAAAAAATGTTTAGAAAAAATAATGTCTGCGTTGACCAAATATAATCATGCAAAGTGTTTCCATAGATTGGTGAGAGGTCGTATTTTACGTGAACATGAACATGCACTAAGAAGGAAAAGCAAGCCAAAGTCGAAACGGGGTGCATCATGGACATGACATAACACATGCTGTGACAACTGAGTGATCAGCGACATCATTTTGGGACGCAATTAAACTTCAAGTACTTCTTTGGGAAACTTGCTGCGCGGCGATGCTGACATCAAGTGTGTGTTGACCGAAGTTTGACCCCAAGTCACGCACTGAACTGGCGCGTTACCTTAGCAACCTTTTTCTTTCGTGCCCCGTGCGTCAATCTAGTAAAATTGTTATTATATCCGAAGGTACTGTAATTACGCAACTTGTATGCAACTCTGTACTGGCTTTGAATATATCAACGTCGTTTACTTAGTGCACTGCTTTTCTAATTACGCAAATTTGTTTACAATATTGTACCGGCTCTGAATATTTCAACTTTGTAATGTATTGCTTTCATGATAATTAGTTTTTTTTAACTACGCGTTTGAATTACGTGCGGCATTGGGCAATGACCTCCAGAGTTCATGCACTGATATTTAAATTCGAGCCACCCAGCTTGACGCAAATCAATATAGTTACTTGTCATTTGTTCAAAAAATCTTTCAACTCTCACAAATACCATGGACACGAAGAGTTAACTGGGAGTTAAATGAAAAAGAAAGCTTTCTTGGACAAAAATTATGTCAGTACAAGATTATGTGTGCAAGGTTAGATTTATAGAACGTACATGACCGCTTAACTCTGTGTTTTTTACCGAATCCGGTATAATGAAAATGTGACACGAGTTCAATCGCCCGACCAATCAAAAACGTCAATTTACGCACGACATAATAGAATAATGGCAGATACACGGTCGATGCAACCCTGTGGACAAGCGACGAAAAAGCCCTGTACTAAGCTTTCCATCACGGAAATTAGAAATCAACAACATTTTTATCGACTGAGTAATAATCTTGCCCAACATTTGTAGTGTCGTGAGGGAATGATTTTTTTCAGGTCAAATCTTTACCGAACCTAAACTACTTGCTAACTGAAAGGCTGTGCTGACGGAGATCATCTGCGATTGCGGCTACACCAAGTACTGATAACATAAAAACTCAAACAAAATGTATATTTTTAATGTCTTCATGCAATATATTCTGAGTTATCCACTTTATTCTGGCCCGCGAATTAATAGGATACAGTTTTAAACATGTTTTTGAACGCCGCAAATTAAAAGGATACATTTAAAAATTAGCCTTAGAAAATAAAATGGGTGCGCGAATTAATCAAGTTTTTACGGTATATACAGTTGGCATAACCTAAACCATGTCTTCAAATTACCATGGCAACTGCATCCATCACATGACAGTAGAAAAATAGAACGCTATAACTGCATTTTAAAAATTTGTGAATATTTATACATGTATTTTTCAATTATTCAAAGACATGTATATACTGGTATATATATATACGTATTACAGGTAGCCCCCTCAAGTGGTCATGATGGTAAATTCTCTTGTTTTACTTACTCCGCCTGATTTTGGCTGTAGCACAACTTTTACAAAATCTGGCATATCTCTTTTCAGTTCGCTATAAAGTCGTTCTTGATCCAATACAACAATAACATCAACTAAAATGATATAAAATGTACAATGTAACAGATGAGTTAATAGTCAGAAAAAATGTTATTGAATGTATG